TGATGATGATGAACCCGGTCGTTTTGCCGAGTCTTGAATGGTTGAGATCATCGAAAGATTTCGTAAATTGTTGTCGAGAACTCGCCATCTGTCTTTTTGAAAGACAACTAATGAAGTTAACAACAATAAAGTAATTGCTCCCAAAAGTGTCACGAAATACATTAAAACAAGAAAAATTTGTTCTTTTTTTGTCTCTTACGGATTTACTGCAGAACAAAAGGAAGATTTAATTTCTATACGTAATGATCTGATCTACACGGCAGACTTTAATCTTGATTTTTTTTTGTAAAATATGACTTGGAATATGACTTTTTTAAAATATGAAGTGAAATTTCTTCTAAGACAAAATTACAGTCATCTATAGAGCTGGAGGAAGTTCACTGCGACTACAAAAACGTATATATCGGAAACCTATTGTAAAGATCAAGTTGGTGAAAATATTTGAATGAAAAGAAATAACTCACGAGATATTTGCTTCTCCGTGACAGATGTGAATTCCTTATTTTATAAAGATATAATGGATTGATTTCTTAACGGAAATCAGCGCGAAAAGCTTTAGAAAGCGTAAACAAATAAGTGGCTAAATAAGTTAATGCGCTGTCACGCAATTCTGTTTTCGTCAAAGACGAATGTCATAATTCTTAGCCATGCCCCTTATTCACCAGCTTTAGAACCTGTAAACTAATGCATTTGCCTTACGTTACGATATCGTAAAGGCCATTCTTTTAATATAACTGTAGGGATAAAAAACCAATTATAACAGAAAACAAAACAAATCAGAAACGAGTCAAAGTGAAACATAAAAGCAGCAATTTAAGAACCTTGTGTCTGGCGTAGATTTCGTCAAGAACTCAATTGATTTCGAGAGCAAACAGGTGCAGGTCCCTCTTTATCAGCAGCAAAGATATCTGCAAGACTGACTGACTGAAACTATGTACCAAAAGAAAAAACGAGTTCTTCGAAGCAATGTAGATGCGTTTGAACGTGCCTAACATTGCATAAACTTCCAAGAACTTCATGTTCTCCTATAATATACACTTCTGAATAAAATACTATTTATGCTGAAAAAGAATGTTATTTATTTTTCTCAATTTTTGATATTGTCGTAACTTTGTAAAGCAGTGTGCATTTCAACGTACTGCTAATATTTTGCAAAAGCATTGCAGTAGGCAATTCAGGCTAAAGAATTTTCTGTTTAAACTTAAATGCTTAGTTATTTTTCAGTAACCGAAATTTCATTATCCCTGGGTTACTTAACTAGACGCATAACTATTCAAATCTACAATAACGTACACTTCTGAAAACACACTTGAAATGTATTTTAGAGAGTGTACATATAATTAATTTAAATATTATTTCATGCATTAATTCTCGTGCTAAAACCTAGAATAATACGTAAAATTATCTCTGCTGAGATATAGTACTGTGCTATGAATAATGGTAAAATGTTCAGTCTCGAATCTCATTAATTTAAATTGAAGAAACAAATTGCTGCATAACTGCTAATTAGCATATTAAGTTACTGTAATTATATAAATGTATACGGCTCCTTTTTTGTTTTAATTACTAAACGAAGAGCTTCTTTATATACAGTTGTTGGATGCAATAATTTTAGAGTTACACTGAAAGGATGCAGGAACTCCTGAACAGCATTTTGAAAGCATATTGTTTAAGGGTTTTCAGTTTCACTCAACAAGATACAAATATAGTTTTAATATTTTATTGTTCATCTCCATTTTCTACGATTTCTAATATTTCATTTTTACTAAGGTTTTACTAAGGTTTCCTGTGCTTTTTTATATTTTATTGTTTACCACTGTTTTCTAAGCTACATTTACAGTGGCGGCATAAAGATATAAAATTTTATGACTGTTATAAAATAACATTTATTAAGCACATATCGATATCAGTTAGTGCTAACAACCTTCATTATATTTCTTATAAAATGTAAATCAGGCTGAAAAAACATACTTTTCAATACCGCTGAATTAATAATTCTACCACCTATTGCCATCCAACACGAAATAAAATTGCAAATTTGATTTCTTAACCAAAGTAATGTGTTATCTATAGTAAAATGACAGATTTAAAAACAGTTCACAGGAGTGTTTCAGCTTATGCTATCATGAGATAAGAAATGGTGATACAAACTTATACAGGTAATAGAGGGACATTGGTGCAATCACATTTTACGATCGAATGCATGATTAAATACGAAACCTAAAGGCGCAAGCGAGTACTTGTTTGCCAGCAACCAGAATCTCCGCAATTATAAATGAGCCGCAGTTTCACATTCTGAGGCAATGTGTCAATACACAATGGACCTTACAAAAGATTTGTTAAAACCGCGAGCCGGGTTGGAACCCAGGTGAACAAGCTGCCTGAAAGATTTATTTTCGCATGTGTAGCCTGAGTAACTGTTGCTTTCTCTTAGAAAGCAATCCATGAAAGCATCTCTCCTCTTACGCAGATAACCCTGTTTTGCTTTCCAATATTCAAATAACCATTAGTATACGATTAGCGAGAAATCTGAGATGCACTTCTTAGATTTGATGATAGATTGAACTGGATGGATTGTTAGGATTACGAAAAGCACTCGAGAGTTATCCGCTTAAGTGCAATGTGTTTGTGGATACATTAGTGGATATGATGGAGGATACGTTCGTGTAGACCTTTCTGATAGAACCTTTTCATATTCATGTTAAACACAGACAACACTACTAAATCTTTTATGTAGCGACTTCGGACGCCATTATTTGAACTCGGGTCGAACTACTAGTATTCAGCAAACTTATCGCTTGGCCATTAGTGAGCACCATAACAAGGGAAAATACAGGACTTTCTCGCAGGAAGTACTTCCAGAATTGCTGGAGTATGTTTGAGCTTTCTTGTGATGTATGTGATTCAACACGAAAGAACACCAGACAATTTTCGACCCTACATAAGGAAACGATTTGGATGTTCTCCTTCCGGAAATTTGGATTGGGCATGTTGGTCCCATACATAATCCCCATGATCGGCCGATCTATTCTGCATCAATTTCTTTTTGTGAGAGCATATCAAGAACCTCGTCTACTCGCTTCGTTTAAATCTTATGAGGAATTCATCGCCATAACTTTGACGACCCTGCAATAATGTGCGTTGTACATGGCGTGTTCCAAAGAGATAGTGAGCCCATCCATCGTCACTGTGTATTCCTTATAGTCTGATCCTTTTAAAAGTCGACTGAATAGAAGCACGAGATTCATTCAACAAAATTCCAGCTGTGACGAATTATAGCCCAATACATTTTTGGCTCAGGCTTATTGTAGAGATTATTGTAGACCCTTATTGTAGACCTTATTGTAGATTATTGTAGACCTTATTGTAGACCCTTACCGAGATTCAATACGTGAATCTTCTACTTGCTACTTGGACGTGTTTAACTACTTACTCAACCAGAGCAGGCACGTGGGAATCTATAATTTCTTATACTTTCACTATATTTCATAATATATATTAAGTTCTTCATCTTCCACTGTTCATTCGATTTTTTCAGATTATTAATTTCCATATGGTCCAAAAGTATTAAATTCACTTTTGACAGCAAGAAATTAAGAAATTACGTTGTTCCAAAACATATGAGCATTTGCTTCAGTAGATTTTTCAAATAATATCCATACTTTTCTACAGCTTTCACTCTTGTGAGTGATCTCATACTCACAGAACAGTTTTCATGCTAAGAGATGTGATGTTTCATTTACTCATACCACCTACTCACAAGACTGAGCCTCCTAGAAGTTTTTGCTACCTAACATGCTCAAAGCTAAGCAACAAGACAGTTGATTTCATTTCGTAGGCATATATCTGATCGCAATGATAGCTACAGGTATTTTCTAAAGAAATATTTGTTGGAAGCTTTCCAGTCATGATGCAAGAGGTGGGATTGGTGCCAATATGCTAAATGAGACTACTTTGAATGAGATAGGAATTAAATTTATTTCAAGTAATTTTTTACAATCCAGTTAGTATAGTCCAGTTATTTTTATCAGCTTATTGATTGTTCATTAAAGTGTGGTTAAAACAATTTAAGTCAATAATAGTAATGAAGTTTAATGGCAATTATTAAATAAAAGTATAATGCTTATTCAGTTAAATGATGTCTTACGTTTACAAGGAATTATAGCATTTCAACTTGCATGCTCATGCGATGTACATGGTTAGTATATCTAGTTAGCAAATGGATGATCCGTAGCATGAATTCTGGCAAAGGCGCTTTTAATTTTTCATATTTCTTGCTTCAAAAAAATGCCAGTATTCTCTAGAGTGCCAGATCATTAAAGGTAGGGTAAATTGGTAACTCTTCACCACTTAGATTTTGTCGACTCGGTCTCTTGCTTCTCTCCGGTTGTCCTCCTAAAAGAAGAGAATATAAGGAATTCTCTGATTCCCCGTGGGCATGCTTTTGGGGAGTAAATGGTCAATACATCCAAATAGGAGTTGGAAAATCCGTGGTTCGAATTCCAGGGAAGACATGGTGATTTTTAGCATTTCTTACTTAGAAAATGTTAGCAGTCGGTATATATATAACCAAATAACAACTTTAATAATAATTAGCAGCAAAATACCAAAAATCAATAATGAGCTAAAATTATTAAACAGATGATTTAAATCTCTATTATAAATAATTTTCCTTTTGTATCAAAAGCATCGCAAGAAATATAAGTCTAAAAATGCAGTTAAAGTCAATCTGACATAACTTGAAAATATTTCTAAAATAGTTTCAACTAGCAATAGTCACGCCTCGGTAGACCTTTGATATGTCTAAAACAAAATCAAAACGAGGCATTTAAGGTTACTAAAGCAAAAATATAAATTTAGAATTTAATCATTTCGCCACATTCACATACTAGACGTCTAAAAAAAGAAACTGCAAACAAACTTCTGTTTTAAATCAAGAATTCGAAAGCTTAAAATACACAATAATGAATTTCGAAGTTTAATACAGAAGACTGCCTTACTTTTAGTTGTTATCAAACTCTGCCAATTTTCCCAAGCCAGCTTCTGGAATTTTTACTTGAATGAATCTTCGCCGACGCCGCAAGGAATTTAGTTCGAATTCTCGTATTAACTTTTCCAAGAATATCTGAAAATACGTCATTCAGGATGTTGTTGAGAAACTGCAGTAAATCCTGGAGCATAATAGCATAATATTAATACTCGGAAATTGTAACCTAATACCAGAATCATTTATTGATTTCGCAAAAATATTTTAAGTGAATTCCCTTATAAAGGTTTAAAAACTTGGTGATATTTATTCGTGGTAATACTAGAAATATTCTCTAAAGTGATTTTTCAGACTCAATGTTAAAGTTCGGTCAAAATAAAAAGGAAAACATATTCTTAGAAAAACTGCAGGAAAATCTTTGCATTTCGTTATCGAAGAATTTAATACAGACGTAATAAATGTAAAATTTTGAGGTCTGCCATTATTTAACTAAAAATTTTAACCGTAAAATTTGGTTATCGAAGAAATAATTTTAAGGCTTGGGATATTATTTGAACAAGCAAGGCACACGAGGATTATTTGCCTCAGGGATGGAATGTCTTCGTTCTTCGTGGAAGGTGTGTGTTTTTTGGTGTATTTAATTACGGCAAAGCACACTAGAGCAATCTGCCTAAGGGGAGGGATGCCTTCGTGGAGGACTTTCTAAGGGAAACTGGCTCGTATACACATTACACATGTGGAAAACCACGAAAACACCCATGCAGCCAGCCCGTTCGCGGGATTCGAACCTCGGACCGAACTACCAGTGTTCAGCGACTTTACCGCTCGGCCGCTGGTGGGCTGTCTTCGTGGAAGACTTTCTAAGAGAAACTATATCGCATTTATTTTACATATTCGTAAAACCATTAAAATTGACCCTGTAGCTAAATCACCTCACTTGGGATAGAACCCAGAACGAATTCCCAGTGTTCAACGATTTTAGCTATTTGGCCACTGGGTTGGGCAGCATTTTTACTCTCCAGAAATCCGATTCAGTCAGTTAGTTCTGTCGCCAGGAAGTGATCCATTGTTCAGTACAAGACAAAAACTTGATGTGTATATCACATGACTTACTTGTACGACCTATTAAATTATGCACAATGTTTTGCTTCCTTTAAACTTAATTTTCCAAATTATTCCTAACTTGAATAACCGATTCCTCAAGGCATGTTAAAAATGTCATCAAAAACTGGAAATTTTGAAATTAAAATATCCCGGTCAATTTTGTCGTACGGGAGCCAAACTTCTTAATTTCATTTTTTCATAAAGAGTACAAAAGTTTCCCAAACGTAAGTGTAGAAATCAGGACAGCGCATTAAAAATTATATTTCGTTATTTGTCCAAACGTATTTTTTTTAATTTGGCCCTGCTAAAACCGGAATATTTTCATTTAAAGCACTTCTGTAATTAAGCACATGACTACAACCAACGATTGCGAAAATAAAGGTCAGGTAAGGATTTTTAATCCAGGTAAGGGGTGGGTGGAAGTAGATACTATATACGTTTGGGTACTTTAGTGTATGTACCGGGTATATACGCGTCCTCCGATTGCAGTAAAAAAGAGCGGTGCACAACTACATGTTATACCAGTCCCATATACAAACTTTAAAAGTTCATAGCTAATAGTTTTTGGGGTTATGGGAGATACATTTTGGGTTATGCATACATACCTACATACGAAAACCACAAAAAAATCCCTTTGGAATTCATTTTAAATCCATTTTACAATTTGTTTTGGAAAAGAGAGTCCTTTATTTTACGCATACGTACAGAACTCACGCAAAAAAGTCCAAATTGTTTCAGAAATGGGAAAAATGGATATTTCAGTTGAAATAAGATACCGGAAATGTTTCGAGGTTAAAATACTCCCAGTGTTTTCTTACGAGGAATTAAACATTACAGTATTCTATGACTTTATCCTTTCGATCATTATTGGATTCTGTGTTCTACATAACGCAGGAGTTTGTATAATTGTCTGTGAATTTTAGAGAGATTATTAGGCTTTTCAATGAGGAAAACGCGAAAAATCTCCTCGTCGGGATTTGAACCAAGGATTTTCCACTGAGAACTTTACATACTAATCATTGTCATCATAATAGTATGAAAAGAGGAATGTGGTTATTTCTTAAATTCTCTCCACACACATAAATAGTGGTTGAGAAGAGGTACAAGACTTAATTTACCTAGATTAGTGGCGAATTATTGTCCAACAATTTTAGTTTAGTCGCCTCTGGATAAAGTCAGCAGGTTTTCCCGAAGCAGAAAATATAAAACATCGCTTATACTCTTTACTGGAATCAAACTCTGGATCTTCCAATTACCAACTGATATGCTCTTCTTACACCACAAAAATATCACAAAGATATGTAATAATTCTTTATAGCTTTAATTCCAATGTCAGTCAATTCAGAAACAGAAGATCTACTACTTTAAGATAGAAAGAAATATTTACAAACAAATAAGTGGCCTAAAATACCATTAAACAACACAGTAAAATTATTATAAAAACTTCTCTAAATAAATAAATAAACAAAAACAGTAAGTATATCATACGAAACCTAAATTTGGGACCCAAATATTTTCGCAGTTTATGATAATACTGAATAAATCTGGTATATATATATTATTATTTACGCATTCCGCCCTAAAGCACTACGCGGAAGGGATGGATGCCTTCTTGGAGGACATTCTAAGGGAAACTGGTTCGCCTTAAGACGTTTCACATGAAAACCATGAAATCGCCCGTGCAGTCAGCCTATTGGCGAAATTCGGAACTCGAACCAAACTACCAGTATTCAGGGACTTAATCGCTCGGCCGCTAGTGAGCCAATAATTCTCATATAGAAATAATTTTTCCCGAAAAAATAACGATTATTGCTTAACTCTGCTTTGGAATATGCAAGTACATTAATCATGAAATAAGTAAGAAAAAGGCTTGCACAAAGAGCAAGATGTATCGATCCCAGTTGAATATCCCAGTTTCCAAATTTCCGCTTTAATGTATTGTTGATTTCAGCTGAAAAGTTCACTTTGTTGCATTTTTCATTGTACAGTACTTCCGAACAGAAAATTACCTGTCGAAATGCGTTTTTTCAAACAAAATATATGCCTAATAAACGTTGCAACACAAAAGCTTCTTGACATAATTAACAGTTTTAGTATTGCACAGAGATTTTTTTTCTTTTAACATTTTTAGTACTAATACGACTTCACACTTTATTCACAAGAAAAAAGGGGACATTTTTAAGGGGACTCATACACTTTAAAACCCATAAGATGTTCGAATAGGTGACTGTTGCAAGAATTGGGATAACTTATTTATTTTAAAAGCAATTACTACCAACTTTTTACAGCTGACTACATAATATAGCTGCTTTCTGAAATAGTAATCAGAAAGTTTGTGTTGCCACAAATATTTTTATAATTTAATCCGCTTTGTGACAACATTTTTCGTCATATTTCCACCTTACGCGCAAAGTTTGAAACATTCTGTTTCATAATTTAATTCCATATTTAATATATAGCTTTTATAACATTTGGAAACTACTGTCAACCTAAAATTCTAAAAATTTCATGTTAAATTTTTATTTTATTTTGAGTTGAGTTTATAAAATGTATTTTATTAACAAAATTTTTAATGCTTTTCGTCGATAAAATTTTTCAGTATTAAAATATTCATCAGATTGTTGGTTCAGTTAGAAAGTAGTGCCCATATAAAGAATTCCATCCAATTTCAAATATGTGCCATTAGCCATTTTTAAAATATCCTGCGCGCAAGGTGTAAACATGGCGAAATATTTTGTCACAAAGAGGATTAAATTACAAAAATATTTGTGGCAACACAAACTTTCTGGTTACTATTTTCCAAAGCAGCTATATTATGTAGTCAGCTGTAAAATGTTGGAAGTAATTGCTTTTAAAATAAATAAAATATCCCAATTCATGCGACAGTCACATATTCGAAGATCATAAGGGGTTTAAGGTGTATGAGTCCCCTTAAAACATCAGATGAAGTTTAAAGAAACGTGCTTTTTTACTGTCAAAGTATTCTTTCATATTTAACATACTGAGAATCAAAGGTAAGTATCTTGAATAATAAAAGTGTATTTCTTTTAATGAAATTTTACTTGCGCAAAGTTTTATAAAGTGCAAAGTACCATGAAGTTTCATTAGTAATTAGAATTCATTAATTTTTCGTTTCAGATTAGGCTCTAAACTGTCGGATCATTAAATCCTAAAGCTTTAAATGGTTTATTTTATTATGTAATTCTGAAACGCTAATAACTTAAATTTAGAAAAATGGCTACTCAGATAAGGATCGATAGAAAACTAATTAAACTGTGAGGAAAATAATTTAATGTCAAAGTCTTCAACCGATTTTTAACATTTTAAATAGCAATTTAAAAGATAAAAGCAAATTTATGCTGTACTTTTATTAAAAGTTAGTTGCAGACATTCATAGCTTTCGCAGCTACTTTAATAAACTGAAATTAGGCATAAAAATGCGTAAAATTTATGAGCTGAATGAAATACCCTGAAGCGATCCTAGAAATACCCTAATATCTCTGAAATACTGTAAGTTAAACTGCAAATTCTAAAATTATCCTTTACTGTTTTGTGGGGTTTAATATCTATAAGTCCTGAGATTATCTTTAGATGTGCTATGTAGGATTTTTAAGTCTTTACAATAAATCCATAGTGTTACCTGCATGTGGGTTCGTAACGGTTTAAATGCACACAGAAAATATGATAGCTTGATAAAATTTATTTTACCAAATGAAACACTTAACAGTTCTCGAACTTTCCATAAAAACAGTTGCACAGCTCTTTACTGTATCACAGAGTAGTTACACTTCAAAGTACTAAAAACGTTAAACATAACACAATAGTAAATGTATCTAAAATTAAAAGTTCCTACGGAGATCTCTCAATACTCCAGACTCATGTTAAACTAGACCACAACAACTAAGAACTGATGCCTGATGCTGTTTCCGGTCTTATATAACTTTTCCGCGGCCGCCGAGAAATGAGGGCCGCATAAGGTTACAGTTGCATACAGGGATCAATTAGCGTTATACAGCTACAATACAAATCATAGTTA